TTGCCCCCGTCCTCAACACCGTCACCGGCACCGTTGGCGGCGCTGTCGGCACCGTTGGCGGCGTTGTCAACACCGCCACCGGCCTGGTTGGCGGCCTGACCGGCGGCCTGACCGGCGGCCTGCTCGGCGGCGTGACCGGCGGCCTGCTGGGCTGATTGCACAGTTCAGACTACTTTTCGCTTTTTCTAGAATAACAGATGCGACACATGCACCATCATCCTGTACTCTCCCACTGGTCCATGCACAGTAGACTTGATATCCAGTGTGTGAGTGTGCACATGCTGGCCTTTCGCTGTTTGCGGCTACCTGCAATTCCGGGCGTGTGCTGTACACTGCACATGTTTTTGTGGCATATCCATTGTACCGCCGCGGCTGCCCTGTAACCGTTTCAACAACATCAGCGCTCCGAATCATACGTAAACCTCTTTCTTTGTCAGTATAGATGATGCTTGGCAGGCAAGCCTCAAGATTGTGCAACTGCTGAATCAGCTGCCTGTGCGCCACTGGCTGTGCTGTGCTGGCAGCTCAGCCCTGCGAAAGCCCTTGACAGGATCAAGTCCAGTTTTTCAGCAATAGATGCACAAAAAAACACCTAGCCATCTGTCATTCACAACAACAACATACTGTACATGCCTTGCGGAAAGTTACATGGGCAGGCACACCCACCTCGAGTATTGTAGGGGACGCCTGTGAGGTTTGCAAGCGCGGCACCGCAGATGTGCCCAGCGCACGCCAGTGGCTTTCACTCACAGTCAGTCCGCCCGCTGACTTGCATGCGTGCTTGCTCACGCACATGTTCATGTCCAGACATAAGCACACTTGCCAAAATGTTATATGCACTGATGACAGCGCACTATGCCTCCAATCAGTCATCGCTATAGTCATCGCTCTCGCTGTAGTCCACCTCTTCCCCAAGATCAGCATTTAAACCGCCGAGGTTCAAAATGCCTGCCAGCGACGCCACCGCTGCCTTTTGCTGCGGCTGCGGCAGGGCCCGCGGCTGTTCTTGCTGTGGCTGGTCCAGCTGCTGCTGCTGCCCTTGCTGCTGCTGCACGCCGGCAGCAAGTGGTGCTGCTGCAGCAGCTGCTGCCCCCGCCGGCTGCGAGGCCACCGACATATCTGACATCATCAGCAGGTCTTCTGGGATGGGGTCGCCTGGGTTCCACCCCGCGGGTATGCTCGGCAGCGCCCCCGCCGCCGCCGCCGCCGAAGCGCCCGCGGCCGCCGCGGCGTCGCGCGCCTGCTGGTCTGCCACCTGCTGCTTGTGCTGCTGCGCGAGCTGGGCCAGGGACGAGGCGACCATGTTTGGTACCTGCGGCGCCGGCGGCTCTCGCCAGAGGTCCGGGGTAGTTCCCAACGGAAAGAACGCATAGCGCAGCCGGTGTGCATAAGCAATGACGTCATCGGGGTCGACCGACGGTGCGGGAAGCTTCCGCAGGGCGTACGCCGCGTCGAGGGCGGAGCGCAGTGCCGCGGCGGCGCCGCTGAGCTGCGCCGTCAGCTGCGGCAGCAGCTGCTCGCGCTCGCGCGCGGCGGAGGTGGCGGACGCGGCAGCGTCTGCGTCGGCGACGGGCTGTGCCGCGCCGGGGCCGTCGGGGCCGAGGAAGCGCGAGCGCTCGTGCGTGCAGAGGAGCGCCGAGAGGGCGTCAGACGCGGCGGATGCAGGCGGCTGTATACGTGGTGGCGCTGCCGCTGAGGAGGTCGAGGCAGCCGTCGGGTCGCGCAGCAGCTCCTGCAACCGTTCCTGCAGCTGGGCCGCCTGCGCACGCGCCAGCGCGGCGAGCTGGTCCGGCTGGTGCGGTAGATGCTGCTGCGCGGCCATGGTAGCAGGGCCGAGTGACCGGGGCAGCAGTGCACGGAGGCTCTGGTTGTATCACGAGCAATCTACGATCCGATATCGTGCCTGTGTGACTGAAAGCTGTTGCTGCCACGACTCTGGATCTGGTCGATGATCGGGCCACGAATGCGTACGTTTCTGCTGTACTTGTATAAAACCAAGCGTCCTCAGCTTTGACGTTTGAGGCTCAACAGCCTCGGGCACACTGATTACGGTATCACTTGAGTCACACCAGCCGTACATCAAGTGAGCATGGTCCCCAGCCCCGTTTCTGTTGCACGGTACGTTGCCCGGGCCAGGCCAGCGCACCTGCAAGTTTGTGTGGCTGTGCACAGAACGCACTTGGGTTGCCAGCCAGTGGAGGGATGTGGGTGCATGTCAGGAGATGATCCACATGAGGTGCTGGCCACCCGCCCAGCCGATGGCGGTGGTACCATGAGTTCAGAGGCGACAGAACCGAGGAACTTTGCGCCTGATGCTGATTGAGAAAGCGCGGAACACCTTCTTGCTATCCGTTGCTTGCCGCGCGGCCACCCGCAGCAGGGCGCACCGCCTTGCACTCATCTGCATGCTGACTCGGTCCTGCCAGCAGCCTGGCTGTCACTGCACAGGATGCAGGTCACTCGCATTTGATTCCGCTTACAATGCCGCATGTATTGCATTGTTGAAAAATGTATACAAAGGGCCGGCTGCCCGTGCGAGCATACGGCCACATTCCTGGGGACCATGAAAGCGTTGCTGCTCTCGGGGTGCAAGCTGCGGGCGAAACGCGCCAAGGCGGGCACCAAACAAACGCCCACAACTGCACCTGACCAAGTCGCGCAGCACTGACGTCGCAACATTTGGTTGCACACGGCTGCCAGTGTGCACGACAGGGGGCCGCAGCGGCGTGCTTGCAGCCGAGCGTTGAGACACACGCATCCGATCCAAGCAAGGGGGTGGCCTGTTTGTCACCGCTCCGCCTGCACATCGATGACGCCGCCGCCCCCAAGCGCGGCCTCAAGCAGGTCCAGCGCCCGCTGGACTTCCGCATCGCCCGCCCACCGCGCCAGGCCGTTTTCGGGGTCGGCCTTGGCGTCGGCCAGCGCCCGCTTGACCTGTTGCGGCGGGGGCGATTGCACAGGGAAGGGCCGCAGCCCTGGGGACTGGCGTCTGCGGGGAGGGGGGCTGCTGGCAGCGGCTGCATGGCGGGCCCGGCGGCGCGGCACCACCTGCTGAGCTCAAGGCGGCGCAGCGCACCGTGCTGAGACGAAGAGGCACCGGCGGCCGGCGCGCGCGCGCTACCGCTGCGTGGGGAGGGCGTGCTCACAAATCTAATGCCCAACTCATTGACAGCTCGTCATACCTTGGGCAGTGCCATGAGGTCGACGAGCTCGGGGTCAGCCGCCAAAGAACTCAGCGCGCTGCGCGGGGTCATTCCCTTGCAATCCAGGCCGCGGGCGGCCGTAGGGCGCGGGAACGGTCACGTTAGCGGCGCGGCAGCACGAGCCCGGCGCTGTCGAATGGCTGGCCGGCCGCCCGAGCGAGGGCGGCCCCGTGCTTGCAGGGTGCAGGAGAGGGCGCGAGGCGGGCAAGCAGGCGGGCGGGCGGGGGCGGCGCCGGGGCCCTCACCATGGATGAGAAGGCGGCCGCCTGGCCGGGTGAGAGGTCTCGCTCCAGCAGCCGCCCCAGCACGGCCATTACCTGGCGTTGACCAGTTGTGTTGACCGGCGGTGTTGACCAGTGGTGTCGAACAACGGTGTTCACCAGGTGCAGCGGCGCCGCACGCAACCCGCATTTTGGCCCTGTTACTCCACAGCTGCGGCAGCCTCAGTGAAACGCGGCCGAATCGCGCCTGCCTTTTCCGGGGCTCGACGGCCGCCCATAGCATACGCTGTCCCGCCGGCCCCGCCACCAGCCCCGCCGCCGGCCCGGCCGCGCACGCATGTGGTTCCGGGTCGCACCTTCCTGTCGCCCGCGTACCGCTGCAGCGCCGTGGGGTCCCGCGCCACCTCCTGCACCGCCGCCGCCACCCGCGGGTCGTCCAGCAGCGGCGCGAGTGCGGGGTCACTGCGCAGCTCCGCCACCAAGCCCTGCACAACCTGAGGGAAAACGTCCGGGCCGCCCGCTGCTGCGGACGTCGTCGCTGCTCGGCGCCGCCGGCCTGCGGGGCGGGCGGTTGCGGCGCTGGCGGGGCGGG